TATTAGCTAGCCTTATAAAATGAGCTGCCATCAGCTTCAGAGAATCGTGCACTTTGAAGAGTTTTTGCAAAATTTTTGGGGAGTTCCCGGAGTTCGGCTCCATGATTGCGCCCTTCCTGGATATTAGATCATTGCATTCACCCCTACTGCTACCGTGACTGCTTTGTTGATTAGGCAGACCTATGAAACTGGAACGCCTAGTCCGAGCCTCCGAAGTCCCCCACCGTACAAGAGTCATCAGGTTGGCCTGACCCCGAAGGACCCTCGATTCTTGTTGTCCTTCTCCCTGAGAAAGGTTTGATCATCCTTTGCTCAGACATATCATTTAAGGAGATTGTGAGGATGCCGACTCACACCGAGGGTAAGGTGAGGTGCAAGCTGATCGTTCCTTTGTTTCCAGTATCGTAGCAAGAATTTTGACATTCTATACCCATCTGGAAAGTAACCTTACCGTAAGTGTTTAGCGCGGCCTTACAGCGCTCCCTTCCACCACTTTCCACCATGAGTTTCGACTTTTTTCCATTAAAACTCGCCGGCGAACCACACCACTCCTTTCTACGCCCAATATCGCCTTTCGCTTACGATCTGACATCTAACATCTATCTAACATAATCTAACGTCGAGGATCTAGTAAGAACAGCTTAGGCAGTAGCTTAGTAAGTGTTTTTCAGGGACATCTTAATTCCTAGAACTGCTTTATTGGGAATTTTCCCCTTATAAAATCTTATCAAATCCCCTTTGACTGTGTTTTCTTCGATTTCACTTTTGCAAGCACTTTCTATTGTAATATTGTTTGTATTCCCGTACTCGTTCATACCATTTCCGTTTGTCACTTCTACAATGTTCTGAAACGTTGATAGATGTGCGCACGTGTCACGGCGCTTCCGGTTGCGGTTGCCACTACCGTACTTCAATGATGTTTGTTATTGGTTTATAAAGTGTACACTAATTGAAAGGCAATTTGCAGCACCCATCTGGCAATGATATTGCGAAGTACTGAATGGTTTTCTGTCGCATTTTTGCTGCTAGTCACATTTGACGCCGTCTTCAGTCATAGCAGGTAGGAAGATGTACACATTTCTTAAGCCATAGCTGAAATGTTGGGAAATAAAGCCCCACCCCAATTATTTTCCTATGTCTGCCACGCTTGCCCATAACTACAGTAGCCTTTAAGGTTCATGGTGAGGAAAGGTGGTCGACTTGAACGCCTTCATAAGCGGACGCTGTTTGAGTGGCGACATGCACATCGTCATCCGCGGCACCGCCATCATAGGTAATTTTTTTGCTCTGGGACCTTGTTTTAGTCCAAACCTTCATTCCCACCCCGTTGATTTTTTGATATTACAGGCACAAGCGCAGACGTCATGAGAGAGACGGTGATATGAGAATTGAGCACATTCTTGCTCAGATGGATTCCTATGTTCGGCCACGATTCGGACGTTCGGCTGGATTTTTACGAATACTTACACCAAGCTGGAATCCACCCACTCAACTTGTAAAAATACAAAGATCTATATTTAAAACATCACAATAATATCAAAGTATGCTTTACAACGTGACATGCCTTAAGTATTAAAGTAACGCTAGAGTTAGTGTGTCCCAGTCGGGAGCTATTCACCAGGCTTTAAGTATATGCTTTGAGTTGAGGACTAGTTCTAACAAATCTGCGTGTTGGTGGTCTCTTCGAAATGCTCCCGTCTGGCGCCTTATGACTTTCATGCGCTTTATCAATCACTTTATTTTGAGAGCTTTCTGCCTCCCTCCCT